TCTGGGCTCCACCGACCCTCGATAACTGTCCCTCACCCCTCCTGCCGAGGTTCATGTGTGTGTGTGTGTGTGTGTGTGTGTGTGTGCACCTGCGGGACCCAGCGACGCCTGACGGGGTGGGGACACACCTCACAGGTCCTGCCAGTTCCTTCTCCTAATAAACGCTGCAGCCCGGCCCCTCCTCCTCCTGGCCTTGTGACTGTTCCCCCACGCCCCCCCCCCCCCCGCCACACACACACACCCCTGCATCCCTCTGCTAAGCTTTCCTGCATCTGCCCCAGACCCTCGTGGAGCTTCCTGGGTCCTCGCCCCCACCCCCCTCTCCCCTTCCAGCTCAGCCCCGAGACCCCCTGTTTGGTCAGTGGTGCGCCTGCCTCAACTTGGCCTCCCTGCCTCGCTCGAAGGCTTCAGGCCGAAGCCTCCTTTGGTGCTTTTGTGACTCAGTCCAGTCGGGAAGGACGTCAGCGTGGAAGATGCCTTCCCGGGCGTCCGGAGTGTTGACAAGGCCTCTGCTGCCCGCTGGCCACGCTCACACCTGTGATCTCCAATCTCAGGGCCCCTCTGGCGCCTGGGGCGTGTGACTTTCTGTTCACCGTGGCTAAAGGCAGATGTGGATTCCCACAGACGTGATGATTCCGGAGAGGATTTGAAGGAGGCGAGGAAGGCTGGTACCTTTTCAGAGTGTGAAGCGAGGATCAGACTCAGAGGACGGCGGGTAGGGTGCTGGCCCTGCACACAGCCGACCAGGGTTTGAGCCTCCGCATTCCAGAGGGTAACCTGAGCCCACCACGAGGGAGTGATCTCTGTGAGTGCCCAGCCAGAAGTCAACCAGGTGTTGCTCCAAAAGTAACAAAAACAGTGCAGAGTGACTTAGGGGCTGAAGAGATGGCCAGAATCGCTAGAGAACGCGGGGAACTGGACTTCCACCCCTAGCGGCGTCCCCCAAGCACCACAGAAAGTGACCGCTAAACACTATTGAGTGTGACCAAACACACCACACACACACACACACACACACACACACACACACACACAGATTTGGTGAGGGGTGGGTACACTGACAGTATACAGAAGTCACTTCCCGCGATTTTCACGGTTTTCAGGGGACTGAACTGGGGTTGGCCACCTGCAAGGCGAGCTCTCCTGTACTAACTTTCCAGCCCCGGGGCCAAACATTTCTTTACGTTGATTCCATAAAATTTGTCACTGAGCAAATTGTATGAAAATTGTCTTCCTCCACCCCGAGCTGTGAACTGTTTGGGCTAAGGAATCTGGCCTCCTGATGAATACGTAATTAACAGCAGACAAGATTCTGGTCAAGCGTCACCTCTGTCACCTCCTTCACAGCCCCCAGGAGCACCATCACCTCCCCAGACCCCAGGCATTCATCTTCCCCCCTCCAAAAAAAAAACACGTGATATTACAGCAAACCTTGGGGGCAAATAAGGGAGAAAACTCTACCCAGTAGCTTTGGGGGCTCATCTGAGTTGTGTTCAGGGTCAGGGATGGAAGCCAAGACGCCCACAGGTAAAGCCTGTGCTCGGGTCCTTGAGGTCTTGAAAATGCCTCATTGAAGGCGACGTAATCAATCTAAGAAAAGATGGCTTGTCTAGTTTAGAAAATCACTTGGGAGAACTCTGAGTGGAAAATCCAGCCAGTCCCTCACCTTCATGCCACAGACAAACATGCTCACACGCACGCACGCACGCGCACACAAACACACACACACACACACACACACACACACACGCACGCATACAAGCAAAGTGCTGCATCTCTGAGCTCCCAGGCAGAAGAAGGAAGAAGTCAGGAGAACGAAAGGACAGGGAACAGAAGGCAGGCAAGGCTGGGAGAAATGGATAGAGATGCCCGAGAAATCTGAAGATGTTCAATCATTTCATTGATTTATTTTTATTTATTTATTTTGCCTTTGGGGTCACACCCACAATGCTCAGGAGTTACTCCTGGCTCTGCACTCAGAAATTACCCCTCGCAGTGCTTGGGGGTGGGCGCTTTGGCAAGGGCTGGAGCGATAGCACAGCGGTAGGGCATTTGCCTTGCACACGGTTGGCCTGGTCAAGCCTGGTTCCATTCCTCCGCCCCTCTCAGAGAGCCCAGCAAGCTACCGAGAGTATCTCGCCCGCACGGCAGAGCCTGGCAAGCTCCCCGTGACGTATTCGATATGCCAGACACAGTAACAACAAGTCTCAAAAATGGAGACGTTACTGGGCCTGCTCAAGCAAATTGATGAACAACGGGAGGACAGTGCTACAGTGCTTGGGGGACCATATGGGATGCTGGGATTGAACCCAGGTTGGCCGCACGCAAGGCAAACGCCTTACACACTGTACCTACTCAGTCCAGCCCCCAGTTGTTTTTATTTTTAACTGTTAGTCTCAGATACTCAGGAAAGCCTGTTTGCTTCTGGGGGCCGGGAGCACACCCTTAGGTGCTTAGGGGTTACTCTTGGTGGTGCTCCAGGAACTCTGTGGTGCCCGGAGTGCATCTGGGACCTGCAAAACCTGTGCTCTGGCCCAGTAAAGCCCATGTTAAAGCACTGGCCTCTGGAGGCAGTGTCCAGGGCGAAAGTAATAACCCCAGCAGGAGCAGAGAGGAAGGACTCAGAGCTGGGGCGTTGAGGAGGCAAGCAGGCCACGTACCCTACTGGCATTTGGCGGGCAGTGAGCCAAGACCTTCCACTCAAACCTTGCTGCTCCCGAGCAGAAGAACATTGGGCGGCAGAAATAATACAGCGGGGAGGGCCAACCTAGGTTCGATCCCCGGCCTCCCAGATGGTCTGCCAAATGAGTGATTCCTGAGTGCGGAACCAGGAGAAACCCCTAAGCCTTGCCAGGTGTGGCCCTCCCACCCTAGAAAAACAAAAGCAAGTGAAAGGACATGGCTCAGTGCCCAATCCACGCCCCCCCCCATGCAGTTCCCACTATGGCACAGTGACAGGGCTGTCCACACCCACCCATAGTTCCACTGGTCACTGCCATACAGCTGAGTAGACATTTGCCTGCTGCATTTTTCTATCGGCGGAAATGAACTGTGCCTTCTCAGAGGGGCGAGTGAGTGGAATCATCGAGGCACCGTGTCTGTCTGTGTCTGGCCCATTACCTGCCCAGTGAAAGTACTGATGTCCAGGAGCCCTCACCAGCCAGTCCCGGCCCGGCCCGGCAGGTTTTCATTGTTTGTTGAGTGAATAAATGACCTGGGGATTCTGTCTTAGTCACCAAGCAGGTGGCCCGAAGCTGCTGTCCTGGCCCCACTGGCAGGGGTCCTGGATGGACAAGCCCCCTCTGCCTGCACTCCTAGGGCACCGGGCAGGGGAGGGGGCAGGTGGGACCAGGGCACCAGACCTTAATGTCTGCTTTCCCTGGCACTTGGCACTTGAGCCCATGTGCCGGCGACTTGGGAACGTCACAGGAGGATAAGCCAGTCCGCAGGGAAGGATCCAGAAGGAGAGCGAGGAGGGGCAAGGCGGGAGAGAAGAGCACAGGGCATGGGGGGAGGGGAGGGAGGAGACAAAGAAGGCCTCAGGGTGCAGGGCTGGGCACACCACACAGGGTGGCCCCAGCCTGCCCTGTAACTGTTCTCATCAAGGCACAGCGGCACTGAGTCAGCACCCGCGTCCGCCCCACCCTAACCGGGGACAGGGAAGGGCAGCGGCAGGTGGAAAGGACTCAGCCACCAGCTCAGACCCGGGGGGAGGGGCGGCCCAGCCGGGATGAGCAGGGCCACACCCCGCTCCCCATTCCAGTGACGCCCGGTCCCACACTCAGGGGATAAGGTCCAGTACTGACAGGGGGCAAGGTTCCCCTTTATCCGGTGGGCTGGGGGTGCATCTCTTGGAGTCTCCCAGAAGCCCCCTCACCCCCACCCAGAGCAGCCCGCAGAGAAGCTGGAGCATTATCCAGTGCGACATCCCAGTGAGGTCAGAGATACGGCTCGGTGGGCTGGTCAACTCCAGGTGTGCGTGTGGTGGTGGGGAGGGGAAGGGAATTGGGTTCGGTTCCAAGCACCACACGGTGCCCTGAGCCAAGAGGGGAGTAGGCCCTCAGCACTGCTGGGCGTGGCCCAAAAACCAAGTTAAAAAGAATTTTTTTAAATTTTTTTTTTGCTTTTTGGGTCACACCCAGCGATGCACAGACGTTACTCCTGGCTCTGCACTCAGGGATTACTCCTGGCAGTGCTCGGCGGACCACATGGGATGCTGGGGATTGAACCCGGGTCGGCCGGTCGTGTACAAGGCAAACGCCCTCCCCATTATGCTATCACTCCAACTCCCCTCTTTAATTTTTAAAAATCCACAGAGGTGGTCCCAGGCAGCCTGGCAGAGCCCGCCGTCTTAGCAAAACTGAGGAGGTGGGCATCGGCCCGAGGCCAAACTGCTCCTAGCAGGACTGGAGCCATAGTACAGCAGGAAGGGCACTTGTCTTGCACGCGGCTGACCCAGGCCCCATCCCTGGCACCCCATAGAGTTCTTCAAGCCCACCAGGAGCAATTCCTGAGCACAGAGCCAGGAGTAAGCCCTGAGCACCACGAGATGTGACCCCCAAACCAAAAGAGACAAGGTTCTTCTTGCTTTTTTTTTTTTTTTTTTGGCAGCAGGAGAGATGAACTCGGGTCTCATGCCTGCAAGACACGCCGGGCCACTGAGCCACATCTCTCCACCTTCCAACTGCTGCTTTAGCCGCTTTGGAGCTGGTGTTTGGGGTTTGGCAGGACAGAAATCCGCAGCCGGCCTTACATAACCTTCGCCGAACCTACCAGCGGCCAGCAGCTCAGCAGAAGCAAAATCCAAACCAACGGAAGGGGCTTTGGCCCAAATCCCTCCCCACAGACGAAATGACGGGGCCCATGCCGCCAGCCAAAGTTGCCCAGCACAGCCGGCGTTTCGAGAAAAAGCCCATCCCCTAACCCACCCAGCCTTCCGGCCACCCCCCGCCACGCCATGCCACCCGCATGGAGAGAAGCAAACGAGTAGAATCCACATGACTACTTTATATTAAAGTTTATTACATTTGGAAAATCTACTGTACAGGGAAAAACCCATTGGATTAAGTTGAGTTTTGCCAAAAGCAAAAGCCTATCACTCTTTGGGAATATTCCTGAATCTGGCCCAGGGCAGGGCCTCAGGAGCTAGTCAGAGGTGAGAATCTGGTTCTTCCTGGGGCAGCACCAGCTGTGCCCAGGACTCCTCTCGTCACCTCCCAGGAGAGCGTGTCCCCAGAGACGGGGCGGGCCCCCAGGGAAGGACGGGGTCAGTGCGAGGGTCTCTGGGCTGGCCTCCGCGTCAGCTGCCCACAGTCCTCGCTCTCCTCAGGGCCCAGCCTGAGGTGCGCTGGGGGATTCCGTCCTCACACGCCTCATCTCCTCAGTGTCATAGCAGGGTGTGTGGCTGTGGCCCTGAGCTCATGGACACAGATGTGAAAGCCCTGGTTGCCGGGATGGGCTGGCCAAGTCCTTGGGGGGGGGCCTCCCCCAGCTGCGCGCCCTCACAGACAGCACCCACTGCAGGGTAGACATTGGGCTTCCAGATTCGATTCTCCTCATTCAAACACCCGTGTCTTCTCCCTGGTGCCGTCTCCTGACCGTCGGTGAGGGAAGCGAGTTGGCAGAGGACTGGCCATGTCACCTCACTTAACTTACCTCAGAAGGGGCGAAGCCTAGGGACTAGAAACAGAAAAATCAAACTAGAGGAAACATGTGCAAAGATAAGTCAGTATCTAAATTTTGAGACTTCCCCACACAGCAGAGTGGATTCCGGTGAGCTTGGCCGGTCCCCACCACGCGGCCATCCCTGTCCCCACAGCGGTTGGTCTGTACCAGTAAGTGCTACAGGCACGGCAGCCCTTAGCAGGGGCCTTGTCTGGCCCCAGGGGCCCATCCAGGCCCAAGGGGGCGTGGGGTCCCCTTTGTCTGTCGAGCTGGGGAGGGGCTGTTCCAGTTTGGAGAAACTGAGTCAGAGAGTGGCAAATGCCAGGTGCCAGCGGTGGTGATGGAAAAGTCAAAAGGCGAGAGAGTCCTTTGGCGCCCAAGTCTCCAGGCAGAAGTCAAAGAAGCAGAGAAACGCCCCGCCTGCCCCTGGCGGGGGGGGCCCCCAGCTCAGGGTGGGAGCGTCGGGGAGGGGGGGCGCAGGGTCCCTCACGGAAGAGGCGAGTGGGGGCCTAGCGAGTGGCAGGGACAGCGGGAGGGGTGCTCCCTCAGGCGTAGAACTCCTCCTGTTTGCTGGGCTTCTGGTAGGCGCCCCCGTTGGCTTGTTTCGGTTCTTCTAAGGAGTAGCTGCCTTCGTCCTTCTTCTTCATCCGGTACAGCATGAAGCCCACCAGGCACACAGCGAAGATGAGCCCCACCAGGCCACCGGCAATGACACCTAGGACACGAGGAGAGAGGCCTTGCTGGGCTTCTGGAAGCAGCGGTCCACCCCCGCGGAGGTCACTTCCTCCACCATGGCCAACTGCCCCCCTCTGCCCACCCCACTCCCCTCCTCATGCCCAGCCCGGTGGGAGAGAGAAAACTCACCTCCCAGCACTTCCTTCCTGTCCAGGAGGCTCTGGGAGGCCCCGGTGGCCTCGTGGCCCATAGAGGACCGATCCCGCTTGTCCAGCTCCGGGGCCGCCTCGGCTGTGTTGTCGCCGGTGGTCTCAAAGGTAAAGTCCTATGGGCAGGTAAAGGACAACTTCAGGGGGGCACCAGGCCACCAGAGGCAACTCCCACCTCTCTGCCAACTCCCCCACCCCCTCACAAACCAGGGACCTCAAGCCAAGGTCACCCCCTCACCACGTCACCCTGGCACCCGGAAGGACTATGGCAGACACAGAATGTCGGGACATTGTGTCGGCCCGTGTTTGTGTCCAAACAGGCTCATTTTTGTGAAAAGTGATCAGGACGTTGTTAGAGGAGAGCAAGTCGAGCCCGCACATGTCGGGGAAGCCGCCCTGGGAGGCTTTGACGGACTCTCTCTCTCTCTCTCTCTCTTTTTTTTTTGCTTTTCGGGTCACACCCAGTGATGCTCAGGGGTTACTCCTGGCACTGCTTGGGGAACCATCTGGGATGCCGGGGATCAAACCCAGGTTGCCCGCATGCAAGGCAAATGCCCTACCCACTGTGCTATCTCTCCAGCCCACTGAAGGACTCTCTTGATCTGACTCAAAAGGACCCCAGCCCAGCCCCGGGTTTGTTGGAAAGATGGGACCTTGTGAGCCCGTCTCCCTGGTGTCCCCTGTGTCCCCGGTGCTGGAAGACAGCTCATCGCTAGCTACCCACCGAGTCAGGAACTGCAGGAGCGTGGGGGCCGGCACTCACCTGCTCCCCAGAGCCCTCTGCTCCTGGGAACTGGCTGGTCGCTCCTTCCTCAGTCACCTTCTCGGTGACAGCGGGGCCTCCGTCCCCTACGTAGTGAACCTCAGGGTCGTGCTGGCCGGGTGCTGATGGGGCCGCGGTCTCCTGGGAGACGGGCCGTGTGCCCCTGTGGGGCTGGGAGGTGACGGTTCCCAGGGCCGCGGTGGATCTGACTCTGGCCCCCTCTCGGGGGGTGGTCGGGTGCTGCGTGGGCTGGTCAGGCACGTGGCCGGCCTCCTTCTCCAGCGCCGTGAGGCCGGGATCCACCTCCAACAGCACAGGCCCCTCTGCTACGGACGAGATGGACACGGTGGTATCCACGCTGGTGGGCTCAGGAGCCGTGGGCTTGGCTGACAGGAGCCCCAGGGTGCTCCAGGTGGGGGTTGTGTGTCGTGACAGCGTGAGATCTGGTAGGGAACCTGCAGGGCCGGAAGCAGAGATTGTTGGGGTGGTGGGAAGGCCCCAAATTTCAAGAACCAGACAGGCTCAGGCTGTGTGGAAGCAGAGGGCAACAGAGCCTTCCCTCCCTGCAAAGCTGTGTTCCCCCGTGTGGAATGTGCCGAGGGGACCCCCCCCCAAATGGGGAAAATAATCCCTTTTCTGCTATATTGGCTTGGGCACAGTCTGGTCTTCGAGCCTGGCATCCACCAGGGCTTCTGTCACTGTCACTGTCCTCCCGTTGTTCATCGATTTGCTCCAGTGGGCCCAGTAACGTCTCCATTGTGAGACTTGTTGTTACTGTGTTTGGCATATCGAATATGTCACGGGGAGCCTGCCAGGCTCTGCCATGTGGGCAAGATGCTCTCGGTAGTTTGCCAGGCTCTCCGAGAGGGGTGGAGGAATCGAACCCAGGTAGGCCGGGTTGGCCGTGTGCAAGGCAAACACCCTACCCACTGTGTTATTGCTCCAGACCACCAGGGCTTCTAGGAAGGAATTTTATTATAGTAAGTCCACTTTCTGGGTGCGGGTCTCCCTGAGGTCCCCTCCTGACCCTTCCCTGTTCCCCCAGGGGCTAGTGCCTGCCTCCCAGCCTCTACTGGGCTCCCTGTCCCAGCAGGCCTGAGCAAGCCTGTCTCAGGGCGCGAGCCTGAGGTCCAAGCCCCAGCTCTGGGGTGCTCCACAGCCCAGGGTTGGGACTCTCCCAGGAAACAGAAGGGAGGAGGAGAAACATCAATGCCGCCAGCCTCCTAACAGCCTTTGGAGGTCAAGATGCAGCAACCAGTGAGCGGGAAGCAGCCTCGCTGGGAACCGGTAGGGAGAGACTCGGCAAACTAAGCGTGGGGTGTGTGATTCAGCAATGCCAATCCAGCACTGCGTGCATCTAAGGGCTATGGAAATTCATTCAGAAGAGTATCTGCATCCTGGTATTCATGGTTGCCATGACATGCAACCAACCTGGAGGGCCCCCAACCAAAGCCTGGATCATGGAGCTGTGACTCAGTGGAATTCTCCAGAATTGGCCTGGTGCTATGCAAGGTGGAGCAATAGCACAGCAGGCAGGGTGCTTGCGTCACACACAGCCAACCCTGGGCTCGGTCCTGAGCATCTCACAGAGTACCCCATCAGCACTTCCAGGAGTGATTCCTGAGTGCAGAGGCAGGAGTAGGCCGTGAGCACTGTCAGGAGTGGTCCAAAAGACAAAGCAACAAAAGATGCAACTGGGTTAGAGCGATAATATAATATAGCGGGTAAGCCATTTGCCTTGCACACGGCTGACCTGGGTTCGATTCCCAGCATCCCATAAGGTTCCCCAAGCACCGCCAGGAGTAATTCCTGAGTGCAAAGCCAGAAGTAACCCCTGCGCATCACTGGGTGTGACCCAAAAAGAAATTTTAAAAAAGCAACTGCGCTCAGGGCTGGAGCGATAGCACAGTGGATAGGGCGTTTGCCTTGCACGCAGCCAACATGGCCAACCTGGGTTCGATTCCCAGCATCCCATATGGTCCCCTGAGCACCGCCAGGAGCAATTACTGAGAGCATGAGTCAGGAGTAACCCCTGAGCATTGCCGGGTGTGACCCAAAATGCAAAAAAAAAAAAGCAACTGCGCTCTTGGAGAAAAAAAAAAAACACAAACCACTGAAACCCACGTGGATCTGGAGGCGACTATGCTCAGAAGTGGCAGAGTCAGAAGGGAGGACAAATGCCAGATGACTTCAGCCAAACGTCTCACTAAAGCCAACCCACCGCTAAAGAAAATGAAGGGGGTAGTGGAGGAGGGTGGGATGGGATGGGAAGAGGGATCCTCGTGGAGGTGGGCTGGCCCTCAGGACTTTGGGGGTTGAGGGGATCGAGTCTCATATTGGTATAGAATATGGAACGACAGGGGCCGGAGCGATAGCACAGTGGGTAGGGCATTTGCCTTGCATGCAGCCGACCCGGGTTCGATCCCCGGCATCCCATATGGTCCCCCAAGCACCCCAGGAGTAATTCCTGAGTACAGAGCCAGGAGTGACCCCTGAGCATTGCTGGGTGTGACCAAAAAAGGCAAAAAAAAAATATGGAACAACACCCCTGAAACTCTACACTACTGTAAACTCACGGAAATGATGAAAAAAAGGTAAAATTCCTTCCCACACACGAGAAAACAGAAGCCTGGGAAATCCGTGGACCTTCGGAGGCTGCCCAGAGAGGTTCTAAAGGGGAGATGCGATGCAGGCCCAGGTCTGCAGCCACGGGTACTCCGGGACCCCCCAATACCCCCCTACCCTCCCCCCATCTCAAATGCTTCCTCTTGGCAAGCCCTGGGTCTGGCCCAGGGGGGTCAACCTGCACCCCCCGGGTCTCACCTGCGCCCGAACCAGAGAAGTTGTCCGAGTCATCCCCAGAGCTGTCCTGATCTTCTGGGGGCACATTTGTGGCCACAATTTGCTGAAAACAGAGGAAATGGTGTAAGTGGGGCTTGATAGGAGGGGCACGGCTTACACACACACACACACACACACACACGAGAGCGAGACTTCAACCCTGCTCAGACAGGCGGTGCCCAGCCCTCAGCAGACGGGGATCCTGACCCCCAGGGGACCCCAGTGGCCCCCGACACCGAGTCAGATCTGAGCAGCCATTGTGGGAGAAGTTTCGGGTCTATGCCTATCAAGAGGTCCCACTCAGGGTCAGAAGCCCCCGGGTCCAGCCATGAAGCTGACTTCAGAGAGGTAGGTGCTAGGCAACAGCCACCAAGGGTCCGAGAGCGGAGGGGGGGAGGAGTGTGGAACAGTCCAGGCGCCCAGGCTCACCCAGGAGAGAAAGGCAGGTACCACACAGTGGGGCTCGGAGTCTGAGCACCAAGGCGGCTTGCAGTAAGGAGGCCCTCAGATACATGGGCTATCGGCCAGGTAGGGCCGGCGTGCACCCAGAGAGACCCAGTTCCTAAGGCCGAGCTGGAGCCAAGGTTGGGGGATGGGGGGCATCCACTCCATAGGCGAACAGGCCCGCAGATACCCGAGGGGGTCGCCCGTGGCCCTAACCCTGGCTGTAGCACAGCAGGTGGGGGAGCAGGACCCCGCAGCCAACAGGGCAAGGGGCGTATCTGAGGAGCCTGTGGATGACAGGATGTGGGTCCCAGTGAGGTCCAGGAAACAGTTCATTTGAGAAGACCCCAATGTCGGGGCCGGGATCCCAGACCCAGCTCACCCCAAAGGGATCCCCCCGCCTTGTATGTTTCCCAGGCATACAACAGGGACAGAAGCAGGAGAGCATCAGTTCCGGGTGCTCAAGAGCTACAGCAAAGCTGCAAAGAGCCCCTCAGAGCCCGGCACGCAGTGGGGACCCCCGAGCTGAGGCAGCTCTGTGAGAGGTGGGGGAGAAGCGGGTTGCATTTCGGGGCAGGAGGCCTGCCTGGTGCAGATGTTGGGGGGTGGGAGTTGGGGCTGGCTCCTCTGCGGAGAGGCCTTGCCAGCTGCTCCTGGGGGCCCCCGGAGGCTCCCTCCATCCCTCCCAAGCAAAACAGGGTGGGGCTTAGACACGACCTCTGGGTTCCTGAGACGGCAGGGCACAGCTGGATGAGGGTGTGTGTGTGACCGGGCACTGCAGCGGACGCATGCAGGAACCATAGGGCCAGAAATACCATGGGACTTCCTCCCAGAGCACCGGACCTGATGGCTCCCTCGCTGTCCCCATGGGCTGGGCCATCGGCAGGCAGAAGCCCATCCCTCCCCTCGCCACAGCTGGTCTGCATTGCGCCGGGAGGGGCTTCACACCCCAGCCCTGGCCCTCAGCAACGTAGGTGCCAGAGACACAGTTCCTTCCCCAACACCTGTCCAGGACACGGTGCAATGCTTTGGGCATTCTGGGGACCCCCTCCTCACTCTAGGCCTTTGCCCCACCCTCCTCTACCTCCTCAGAGGCCCTGAAAGAAAGTGGCCAGAACTTGGAGGGCTGGAACCCCAAGGGTAATGTCGCCACAGAAGCCAGCTGTGGAGTCCAGGCCCTATGTCACAGGCGAAGCCCCCGGGTGTCCACGGGGAGGGAGGCTTCCCCTCTCCCTCCCACCCCCAGAGATTCCCAACAGATGAGCGGGACTTCTCAGGGGACCCGATAAGACCCCAGGATCTGCAGGGCCCTGAAAGCAATTTGTTCCCTCCACTCAGCTGGGCTTATCCCGAGGTGTGTTGACACAACAAACACTGCATCAGTGCCTGCCTCTGAGGCTTACCTGCCCTGCCCCCCTCCCCCCCCCCCCCCCCCCCCAGTCTAGGAACCTTGTCGGAAAGGACAGAAACAACAGTGTTGGAGCTTGGAGCTCCCGGTTTCCCTCAGCAGTCCCTGGCCCATCCACTCTGGAAGCCATCCTGGGCACTCAGTGGGGGCCTCCAAATCTCTGCACATCCCAGAAAAAATCTGCTTTTCACACAAGAACCAAGAGCCCCAGCCCGGGGCTGGAGAGATAGCACAGCGGGTAGGGTAGGGCGTTTGCCTTACATGCGGGCCAACCTAGGTTGATTCCCAGCATCCCATATGGTCCCCCGAGCACCGCCAGGGGGTAATTCCTGAGGGAAGAGCCAGGAATAACCCTTGTCCATGGCCGGTGTGACCCAAAAAACAAAAATTAAAAAAAAAAAAAGCCCAAGGCTACAAGGCTCCGCCCCACCCACAGCTCAGGCCCACCAGCAGGACAGTCAAGGCCAGGCTTAGCGACCCAGTGAGGGCCCGTGTGCGGGAGTGCTCAAGGGGCCTAAGGAGAGGGCGGGGGACAGGGCTGGGTTCCCCCTTGGCTCTACTCTTGAAGGTGAAAGGTGCTGGAAGGTCCCCTATAGGAGACAGCCGAGAAGTGGCGACCACTTCCCGACAGGTCCCCGATAGGAGACGGCCAGGAAGTGGCCAGCAGGCGGCCCCCAGGACAGCGGTGGGCTAAGAGCTTCGGGGACGCTTCGGGGGACACCTGCCTGAGACTCTTGGCCTCTGGGACCCTCCGGGACAGGGCCGAGAGTCACTTTCATCCTCATGAGAGCTGGCAGGAGTGCAGGGTGGGCACTGGCAGAGAAGCTTCAAGAAGGCCTCCTGAGCTGCCAGCTCCCAGCCGGTGCTGGCCCAGCGAGGGTCCCCCGCCCCCAACATGGAGCCCCGGCCACGCACGTAGCACCCCCGCCCCGATACTGATGAGAGATCAAGGGAGCGAGGGGTGGGGTAGGGGGTGGGCTCTTAATTCGTGTTCGCCAGAGAGCTCGTCTGCCCGTTCCATCACCCCTGGCTCCCAACTTGCTTCCTGACCCCATACCCGGCCTCCACCACGCCTGCAATGGGCGATGAACCAAACAGCAGCACCAGAGGCAGCCCATGGGCAAAGCAGAGGCCCTCGGCCTGTCCCCGGAACCCCAGCACAGAGAGAGACCCTCAAACACCAAGCAGCCCCCAATCATTGCTGGGAGTGGTGCCCCCAAACCCAGCCTCCATCCGGGAGGCCCCAGGAAGGCGTCCCGCCATCCAGGGCTGATTCTCAGCAGTGCCCTCATGTCCAAGGCAGGGAGCACTGTCTGGGGAGCACCAGGGTAAGGAAAGTGAATTCTGGCCCTGGTGAGCTGCCATAGGCGGTTGCCACGTCCTAGGAGGGGAACCTGAGAAGGCGGGGTGGGGAGGGGCTTCCAAGGAAGGTCACTGGATGGGGGACACAGGGCCTGCCTTAAAGCCCCCAGGCAGACTACGAGGAGGACAGGATAATACTGTCCCAAGTCACCAGTTCCGCAGCCCCAGGCCTTTGTGGCAGCCTTTGGGGGGGGGGGTCCAGAGGACAGGTGAGTCCGAAGACCCGTGTGTGTGGCCCCGAGTCCAATCCCCAGCAATGCCCCCGGGGCGCCGTGCACTTGGGGGGCCTCCCTCAAGAGAGAGCCAGGCCTCCGGAAGTCCCGTGTGACCCCCGATGCCATCTATGGCTCTGGGGGCAGGGCTGGTTCCTCCCAGATGTCACAGCCCCAGGGCCCGAGGCCTCCTCTGAACCCACCTTCACCCCAGATCAAGATGCCAAACAACCAGGACCAAACGGGCCAGCCAGACTCGGGGCTCCCCAGGAGAGCCGAGGGGTGAGGAGTGAGAGGGTCGGGCAAGAGCTTGCTGACCTGCCTCCAGTCCAGACGGGGAAGACGTACCGGGGGTGGCCGGGGTAGGGGGGCACGAGGCCCCTCACTCAGGCGCTACGTGACTCATCCACTGTCCATAGAGAACACTCCCCCACGCCCTCCGCCGCCCCCGCCCATTTCTTTTTGCCATGTCCTTTCCTGTGGCCAGGAGACTCAGCCGCTCCCGAGGAAAGCACAAGTTCATTTCCACACACCGCGAGCCTTTCTTCAGCCCAGCCTGAACGCGCCCCTCTACGCTGACAACAACGCTTTTCCAACACTCCTTAGCTACTCTCTTTGGAAGACAATGAGCATTTTCTGTCACATCAAACAGTTAAGGACAGAGTGGGGATTGGAGGGGTGAGGAGCGGGGCGGGAGCGGTAGCGCGGCAGGTAGGGTGTTTGCCTTGCACGCAGTCAACCCGGGTTCGATTCCCAGCATCCCACATGGCCCCCCCCAAGCACTGCCAGGGGTAATTCCTGAGTGCAGAGCCAGGAGTAACCCCTGAGCATTGCTAGGTGTGACCCAAAAAGCAAAAAAGGAGAAGAATGTGCTTTCAGGGGCTGGGGCAATAACACAGTGGGTAGGGCGTTTGCCTTGCACGTGGCTGACCCGGGTTTGATTCCCAACATCCCATATGGTCCCCGGAGCACCTCCAGGAGTGATCCTGAGTGCAAAGAGTAACCCCTGAGCATAATCGAGTGTTACCCGAAAAGCAAAAAAAAAAAAAAAAAAAAAGGACTGAATTAGGATAGGAAAACCAGGCCTTTCCCATTCAAGTGGTTTTCCCAGACAGAGGAAGCTGGGAACCCCTGGGCCTCCTGAGCATGACCCACCAGGGGAGAGTGGGGGTCCCACTGCAGAGACCACAGAGACCCACCGCTCTGCCCGAGGATGAAGCACCCTGTTCCGTTCTTGCCACAGGAGTGCTAACCACTTTGCTCTCCTACCTCGGGTCAGGTGACCCTGTCCTCTAGTCCTGCTGACTCAGGCATCTCAGAGTTAGTTTCAGGGCCAACCCCGCGTTGGGGACTGCACTGTAGGGGAGACAATGTCCCCACGGGGCTGTGGGGCGCCGTGCTGTCCCAGCTGAGGTGAGGCCCTCTGGCTCCTGGCCGGGGCTCCCGGGCAGCCGGGCCCCTGTCCACCCTCTTTCCCACCTGAACAATAACGGGGGCAGGGCTGGAGAACCCTAAACTCCCAGAGGGCCCTGAGGAGCCTGGGCGCAGTGACCCCGATTCCTTATCAGGAGGGCGGGAGACGAGGGACAGAGACCGCAGACCTCATGCGAGGGGGTGGCAGCTCCCTAGCGCGGCCTG